GCTCCGTAATCGGTCAACTTCAACAGCTCACCATTCAAAAACTATTGGTTTCTTGATTTTTTTTATAAGAACTTTTATCATTCACTTTTATACAAGGAATCTCGTAGCGTACTCAGTGTTAGGTATTTACGAAACACCCTGTATATCGCGATATTTTTGATCATTATTGTATCATTCCCTTCATTAATGTTAATAACATCTCATAAGAGATGCGCTCCCCTCGTTATCGAGGAATATGAGCTTTGTCTCAATACAATCCCCGATTCTTCTCGTAAGCTAAGCTTCGTCGATGTATGTGGAGACACAGGTGTTATGAATGAATAATGTTCGTCGCGAATCTTTTCCGGCTTAATGCAATAATATGATACACGTCGTAAAAAAGCCGGCAGATAAGCGAGTAATTATCTCGTACGTAGTTGAGATGCAAACGACCAGTTCTGTGTTACAGTGATAGACATTTCTTTCACGGAACTGAGTGACCAAACGTCGTTACGTAAACAGAGCTTCGGACTAAGAGGGATGAAATTTCACACGCGTTTTAGATTACGATGTTGCCTCTATAATATTTCAAAGCCGCGAAGGAAAAACATTGAACCGTCCGGTTTCAATGCATCCATTCGATCTATTAATTGCTATCACTATAAATTTCGTCAACTAAAATCAAAACAATACTATATACATAAACATAATTATATAAAAAGAATACCAGCCTATTTGATATGAAAAGAATGATAAAATGTATAGAAACAATTGAATCCACTGAAATCTGAATTACAATTTGCTGTTATACAGACACGATTTTATTTCTAATTGAATTATATTATGAAACTTGAAAGATTGGCAATTAATAGATTGCAGAACGTATATTTCAGGAATTGTATTGAATGCAATTCAAGATGAGCGATGGGAAAACGGAGCTTTACCTGAAAATGTATGAGTATTCTTCGGCCGGAAGGGCCGAAGAGATCGTTGGACGTTCTGCAGGCCACGACGGACATCGCCAATATTTGCACCAAGGCGCGGATGGCCAGCAGGATCATGGGATCGACATTGCGGACCGCCTTGACCAGAGCCGAGCTGACGGTGAAGAAGGTGCCCGACAGAAACGCCAGGAACACCCCGTACCACTTGGTGCCGTCCCGGTAGTTCTCGCTATTGTTGCCGAATTGTTCGGTATAATGGTAGGCCGGATGGATGCTGTTGTAGGAGGCGGTGGACTCTATGCTGAACTTCATCGTGATGTAACACAGGACCAAGGTAAAGAGTAAGCGATTGCCTCGAACGGTCGACACTTGCACTGCCGTACCGTTCCGCACATCTGCGACGTCCGTTCGCAATTAGCATAAACTTAGACGACGGATGGATTATTAAGGATTAATGACGCTAGGAAGATTCGAGCAAGTGGAGCGACGGCTGTGAGAAAAGTCTGTGTATAGTAATGTTGATATAAAAATAACGAAATTACATTTCGGACAGAGTAGCGTCAAGAGGAGGATATCATGTCCTGCGAACATGATATATTTATGAGGATTCACTTCCACCGAAAGCGATCTTTTATTGAATTGTCAAAATTAGAAAAAACGATAAATCTTTAGAGTTTTGTTCAGTTGTAATTGTGTGGTAGATCGGAATGAATTTGTGTTGAATTTTAATGCGGCCTTATATTCGTTTAAGCAGCTATATTTATTCGTAGGCGCGTTAAAGCGAGTGAAATAATTTTAGTTTTTTTTTAACAAATATATCTTTATTTTTATATTATAGAACAAAGGCTAAAGTTTTTCATATTGTACAAATTATAACAAAATATATTATTAATATATCTTCTTATCTGTTGCTCACAACAGTTGGTTTGTACATGGAGTTACCTGATAAAACCCAACCCATAGTAAAAATTCGGCAATTTATGGGATCAATCTTTTCCAAACTGTAATTTGTTGGGTGGCTGATCGACACGATAAAGCGTGGCTGCCACATTGAAATAGCCCTCGTACTCAATAGTTTCTGGCGTCGTATCGATATGATAATGTCCACCTAATCGACTTTCCTCGTAGGCACTATGGAAATGTTGAACCCTGAGATCTAAGTCCTGAAAGGAAAAGAAAACGAATATTTAAAATAAAAACGTGTGAAAATAATCGTTTGAAACAATTTATAAAACTATCTTGGATGTGTTCCATCGATTGTTTTGCTTTTGCATGTATATTTTTTTACAGGCATCAGAAAAAAAGTCTCATACTTAATATTTTTTTTCAAATATTCCTGGATTACTTACTGTCTCAGCGCTGACGAAAGTGCCAACAGCTATCAGAGGAGTTTTCATGTCGTAGAAATGTAACCACTCATTAAGCTGGGCCTCGGAATTCAATGGAGTGTCCGAAAAATCTGGCATAATGTGTTGCTTCACTTTTCCATTGTTCATCACGAACGTGCCACCCAAACCTGTTTACCAATATTCGAGAGCTGTTTAAGTTTCTGTGGTATTTATCTTTATGCTACAGCTGATAATTTACAAAACTTACCAACGAGCTTATCTTTATATTGGTTTCCCAATGCTTTCTGCATACAAGATATGAAATCCAGTTTTCCAGTACGTTTTTTAGCGTGCACCTTTATAACTTTTCCCGGTTTACCTTCGCATACATACAGATTGGCCAACAACGCGAAAGTTGTTTCATCCTCATTGGCTGGTAATCGCTGGAGTATGCACTCACCATTTCGCTTATTTACAAAAGCATAATGTGTTCCATTTGCTACTCCCATGCCATACGAAGAGCCTTCGCAAACTCTATTGTTTACTACATTTAACTTCATAACAAGCTGAAACAAATATTTTTTCAGCATGTTTCATGCACATACAAACTTGAAATATTATTATCAGTTGATATGATTTACTCAAAATACACACTTCACAATTGGAACTTGTATGTGGCCACGGTCCAGCTCCTGCGCCAATGACGAGAGTATCACGATTATAATTTATGTGTTTCAGTATTGTCTTAATATCATAGAACTTGTCTCTCTGTACAGTTGGTAGAAGATAAGCCGGACCACCAACTTCCAAAATAATTGGAGTACCACACAAGCCTGGAAGAATAATCTCTTGATCCAAACGTATAAAATTTGAAGGAATTAGAGATTGATTATATTCTCCTTTCTCTTATACCTTCCCGGTAAAAATTGTAGGGCCATCTGCCAAAGTCAGGACAATCCACCAACTCAACAGTAGTCTCCGCAAAGTTTGTAGTCAATCCTTCTGTTAGAACTAGCATTGCGTAATACAAAAAATCATATTATTTACAGTTTCCTTTTAATGTATAAAATGTTGTATAATTACCACTCATTAACTCATTGAGAGGAGGTTGATGCAATGGCCTTGATGTAATGTTTATTTCAGATGGATCCAAAGGTTTCATCTTGCCGGATTTTTTAATTCCTCTTGAAAATTAATAGACTAATAAACAGCAATAAGATTGGTTTGGATCAGTGGAATGATACTGAGGTAAGAGCTATATATCAAGCTATATATACAGTAATTGATAAATCTTATCTAATCATGGCATATAGTTCTGTCTTCTTTCAAAACAAGCTAACCAGATTTTGTGAAAAATTGCATATAAGCAATTATGAAGAGATAACTTTTCTAGGTAAAAGATAAAATTTTTTCCAATATTTACAAAAACAGAACTAGATTAAAAACTTAATGTGTGTTCGTGTGTAATTTTTAATATTAAATAGCAAACATTTTCATGTTGACAATATTGTATCATCGATTCAATGTGAATTTAAAAAAAATTATTTTATTCGTCAAACGATACACAAAAAACACATATTACATATGTGCGTAAGAGATATTGAAATAATGCAATATATATAATAATTATGTGAGAGTAAACATTACATTTATTGCACAATATTATGTTATTGAAGTGCTTACCACGAGTAGTTTGTCAATCTTATCAAATGATTTCCTCCTATGTGTACAATGTACACATGTACATACATCCACCATATCCATGTTACACAGTTGTACACAATTATACATGCTCATGTGACCGTTTCAATTGGTATGACAAATTTCTACAAAACATAGCTCTTAAAGTAAATCAAAGCGCAAAAAATTGACAGAAAAGACTGTGAGCCACATGTTGTAACGCAAATAAATACGTTATATATATATCTTCGCAGCAGCTTACGACTGTACCGATTGTACTCGAGTTGTCGTTCTTCAACAGCTCAACGATGTAGTGTGTTGCCGCTAGATAGCGCCTGCTATTCAGTTCTCTTCGGCGATTCCAGTTGGTAACCGAATCCGTCCAAATAAGCGAATTGTTGCACATGTTCTGGTCGAAATATTTTTTAATTCAAAGGTATGTAAGATTTGAAGCAATTATAGATTGCTTGCCTTCTCTTTTATCTAATACATTCCCGATAATAATTGCAAATCCACTCGGAGACGTTAGTCTGATTGTGAGTCAATTACTTTAACAATGGTCGTCGTGTCATCGTGTGCATTATTAAATGGCGACACAACGAGAAAACAATTGTATTTATCGCGCCGAATCTATTTCAAAATCTGCACAATTTTTGTCATCAATTCATCGTTGCTGAGGAGAAAAAAAGTAAGACTTTTTTTGTCGATTGATTTATTATTGTTACTCCAATTTTCACATTACAAATCTAACCAAGAAAGCTCCAAAAGCTCACAACTATTAAATCAAAGTGCGTTGAAAATTAGTCGAAGGATTTGAAAGTGAAGTTGTATATGAATTGAAAATCGAGTACTGCCATATTTTTATTAAGGAAATGCCTATTCATCAAAGAATTTTTCATTAACGTTGCATGAATCTTTTTAAAGCTCTCAGAGCTTTCTGTGCAAATAAATGCGCAACAATATGTAGAATGTAGAAATACGTAGAATTTAAATGATATGCTAATATTTGCTCGCGCTCGGACGGAATATTCTCGCGGATCGGACAAAGGTTTATCCGTCGTGCAGCGTTTATTCGTTGTCGGCGATTCGAGAATTGCGGACACGCGCGCGCCGCAGGGTGGCTAGCGTCCTCGAAGGGGTGGCGGCAGATCCGCCGTCGCGTGTCGACGTCGCGGCGTCAGTATGCGGTCGCGCATTCCACGCGGGAACACCTGTTTGCTCCGGTGGCGTCGGCTGCATTGGCTCGCGTGCAACGCGGTCGCGCTCGGTTCGCGGGGGCGAGAGAGAAAGAGAACGCGAGAAGGTGGACGAGAAAGATAGACAGAGAGAAGACTAATATATCTTTGGACTTGGAGAGAACGCGCTGACTCTCCTAACGCGATCACCGCCAAGTAAATAGTCTCAGTACATGAAGCATTCGTTTTAGAAAGGGCTAGATTTGAAAAAATTTTTTTTTTTTATAAATATACATTTGTGTATTGAAAAGTATATGTTTCAGCGATTGACTTAGGAGCAGCGAGAGAAAGAAATGGTAATAGATTACGCAATTGTATGAATAATTTATGTTTTTTATATTTTCTGAAAAATATAAGCACCTTCGAAGTCGCATCCTTTCTGAAACGACTGATTCACAATTACATGTCTTATTTTCTCTTTTTAAAACGCACACGTATTGGAAAAAAAGCGATTTAACATCGTATTCGAATTTTCGTGATTTCTGATTAATTTAGTGTTAATTAGTATTTAGTATTAATCCACAAAATAATGGTACGAGTTAGTTAATTATATTTTACGAAATAATTTCTAGCTGGATATTATATTGCGTTATAAGAGATTATATATTTTTAGAATTTTCATAAAATATTCAAAATAGTAAAAATTTATTAAGTCACGCTAACAACGTGAAAGATGCAAATAAGATATCGAATATTGGATTATCGATATTGAATGTTTCCGCAGAGGATTTAAAGAATATTCAGACGTACGTTCAGATAGATTTTTTTTTACCAAATGGTTAGATAAGTGAAAGTCAAATAAGTTCTCCCTCTGAAAAATTGAGTTTTCTGGCTTAAGTGCTTTCTCTCTGGGGCCAGAGGACGTACGGAATAGGAAGAGGAGGAGAGACGCAGGGTGAAGGGGTCGATAAAGAGAAAGAGAAACAGCAAAAGGACAAAGTCCGCGAAGCTTCGACCACGTGTCCCTCGTGGCTCTCGATTGTAAACGCGTAAGAGCAATTTTCTTTATTAAGAATATGCGGACGATCATTCCGACGTGTCTCTCTATCATTTAGGAAGTTTGGCCCCAGCGAGTATCTCCGTTTGGATGTCTCTCTTTGCACGATGCACTTTGACCCACCGGTGTGTTTGCATCGTAAAAGAAAAGAAGAAATTGAAAACTTGACGTAGAAAGACTATAAAAATATGTAGAATGTGATATGCAGAAGCAATGAAATTAATTGGCATTAAATTTAGGAGTGAAATTCTCAGAAAAGAGAGAGCTAGGTTTTTCAGATAATAATTTAGCTATTTAAAAAAACTTTGAAACGAAATCGAACAAAAAAATTGTTCTCTTCCATTTTGTTTGCACTACATAAGTGTTCTCACAAACTTGAATTATAGCAACTATTAGTCAACTACTGTTGGCTAATTGGCTTACTTATACATAATATTTTCAAAGTACGTGGTGGTCATTTATCATGTCAAGTTTCCACAGTTGCGTTTTAGTATTCCCGATAGTTTGTTTTATTGGACAGTTTATTTATCCTGATATATGCAAAACGCATTCGGTGTCTTGATGATTAACGTAGTTTAATGCACTACACCAGTGGGTCGGTCAATGTTAACTCCAGTCTCAGATGTATAATTTCGGATGTGATGACATTAATTAATGTTGAAATCTTTTTATTTACGTAACATGGAATCGGTAGAATTTCATTACTGGTGCCCCCGTCAATGCATCAATGTTTAGATAATTTAATGCATGCTCCGTTAAATTTAATGTATTTTCTACACTTAGTGTCATCATTAGTCGTGTTTGATGCCCGTCAGGACTGAATACATCATATTCAAATACAACAGTCAGGAAGTAAAATATATAATAATAGTAATATAGTATGAGTAATATGATAATGATTCGATAATATGAAAAATTTAATATTACAAGAATCACATCGTTTTATAAGTATAACTTTTTTTCTCTCTCTTAAAATATCGTGATTGTATAAATATTGTTTAATTTTATAGAACTCTGTAGAATTAAATAATATTTATTTTTATTATCATCATTGTTATACTATTTTATTATTATAGTTATATTTTATTATTATAGTATTATAATTATTATGAATACTTTTTATTACTACGAATATGTTTTAAATCCGATAAGCGTTTCCTCGGCATGATTATTGTTCCCGCGACAATTATTATACATATACAGTGATAAAGCCGCAATTATGCGTGTTTTCGGCTGTATTTCGAATAATATTATTATTAACTGAGACTTTCAGCGAATTTATCTCGGCAAGTTTGCACGCTTCGTACCGACAGCTTTGATTACGGTAAGTTCGGGCGGTGTCGCGGAAAATCGCGCCAACGCTTTGTTCGGCAAGCGTTTTGCTCTATCTTTGTTCGCGGTCGCGATCGTGGATCGCGGAAGTTCGCGGTCGTGAAAGGCCCGACTTTATTCGCTCTGACGAGCGTAACGTACGCTATTAAGAGCGCTGTTATGAGACCCCATCGTCTCGAGACGGGGCGCGGAGACCTTTCAGAGACGCTCGTGTCAACGTCGCTTAACTAACCGTACTTAACTAAGTTTTCCGTACCCGAGAGGCAGACGGGAGTAAATAAGTTGATAAAAGTAGATAGACGCGCGTATAAGAGACTTGTATATCGCAGTAGATCAGAAAAAAACAAGTTCTACAAATTGAATTATCGATTTTGAATTATGAGCAATTGGAGATAAATCATTTTTCGTCACACGTGACTCGAAGACGCGAGATAATGCACATTTAATTTTTTATTAAATTTTAAATTAGATTTTCTTATAGTTTCAATTTAGTTAAGCTGTCCAATTAATACGGTTAACTATTAGTTAAGGATATTTTAGTTTAAAATTATCTATTGTCAAAATATCTAACATAGGTATACCTTTTGGTCGCAAAACTCGCGGATGTTAATGACAATATTTCTCCGACGAATTTAAAGTTGAAAATGTCGAAAGAGATTCTCATTTGTTACTTTTTTTAATTTTCAATATTTAAAATTTTTAACTACCTGTCTTAATTATTTATCTTTCTGTGATGTTTGATTCGTAAAAAGTTTTTAATAATTTCTTTTTAAATTCGTAAATCAGTATCTCGATATTTGCGTTGAAGAGAATTCGACTTTAAATTAATCAGAGAATCTGTGCCGTTAAAAGGACTTCAGTGAATTTTAGAACACTCTGTGTAACTGCTTATATCGGCAAAGCGGATAGAAGCCATGTCTCAATTTTCCTATAGTTAGTACTTTGATTAGAGGATGGTCATTGACAGTATTAACAGTAATTTTCGATGCAACTGTTCCTCGATGACGTAAAAGGCCGGAGGGAAGATAGATACTGCACGAGCATCATCTCATTCTCCGGGATTATAATTGAATTTCGCTCCGCTGCTTCTCGGTGTGCAACCGTGAGACGTAAATGCGTAGTAATTTATGCCTTGTCCGTCGTTGTCTGATTCGCCAAAATGTTAGACGAGGACGTGTCGCAAACTAGATGCATATCAGCTGGACGGATCAGCTGAGACTACATTCACATGCATATGCATATTGTCGAAGACGAATTTTAGCTTGACACACGAGAGATCATGCGTCGTCTCGCTATTTTTTTTCACTGCCATCTGCAATTTTTACTTATAACCTTTTTATAAATAAATTTGTACTTTTTATAACTATTTTTATTATATTATTTATATTTATTTATATTGCGTATATTATATTAATATTTTACTAATTATTCTCTCTAGTATTTTTTTATGTAATGTAATGTAGCAGAGTATAATTAAACAGAATTTCAAAGTAGCGGACATTATAATTAATTAATTCAATTAGCGGTGAAAATTAAAGAAATGTTTCTGACAGATAAAATTTCCGCGTAACTAGATAGCAATTTCATCGAGAAATTTTAAGACGTTATTTCACTTTCGAAACACGCTGCATAATTTGAGAAGGCAGACGTCGTATTATTGACTCGAGGCTAAATTCTGTTTAGCTGCCTAATTAGCTTCCAGTAGATCTTGCTCTCTCGCGGTACACGCTCGGCCGATTTCCGTTTCGCGACCTTGCTGTTATTTTCGTTATCGATATTATGACGTCGTTATCATCCGCGCGGCGCGCAGCCGGAGGAGTTGCGGCGGCCGGCGAAGCGGAAGTGATAACGTCAGAACCATTCGATCGTCCGCGAGCCATCGGCAACGGCTATCGATAAACGTAGCGGCGTGAATGTCAACAAGTCGCGCGGACGTACCGGAAGCATTTGTCCGTGTCCTTCTGCATTTGATCGTCGCCGATCCGCCGCGACGAGAAACATCGCGAGATAAGATTAATGTTACACGAAGCACGCGCGTCAATTTCTCACAGTCGATTTTTCTCCGTGAAAAGCATCGGGAGACAGCGAAGTAACATTCGATATTTTCCGTTTAATTCGAAGCAACTCTGACTTGTAACGAAATTTTTAATTAGGTTTTGCGCTCCGTGATACTTATAGAAAATTGAGGTGCTGCGAGATGCTAATCTTGGCTAAGACAGATTTTATCAGTAGATGAAGAGTGATCGATTATTCCTGGCGTGTTAATTTCTCGCCTGACGGGCTTTGTGTAAAGGGGAAGATTTACGCTGTCATAAGAAGATAATTTTTCTTGGGTTTTAATAGCTCAAGATGTTGGTTAGTTTTTCGCTATCTCAAACAAAACGCGCCAATCTCGATTTATATATATATATTAAAATTGCTAATTAGTAATATGACGTCAATTAAATCGGTGTCATTATATCACGCAAATTAGTAACATCGATATCAACGATAATGACCGAGTTCCACGATCGACTGATGCACATCATTGAGAAAACAGGACACGTCGCAGAACTGCGCTTAAGCGTTCATTTGTATTCTCGATCGTTCGGATGAGAGTTTGCGGCGCCTCACATAAAAGTTTCGTCATTTCTCCCGAAAGCCCCGACATGATTTTTATGGATGTCCCTCGCGCCGTTATTCGAGGGGAAAAAATCCAGGCTCCTCGCTTGACATAATTTTATCGACGTGTATCAGTACTTTGAAACTAGAACAACCAACGTCACTTAGCGGCGTGGGCGCAGATGGAAGGTGCTGTAATATACATCGCGATACAGCATTCTTCATTTATCAAAATGACTAATTGCGCCTATCCAACAAAAATTTTAATTCTTTTTTAAATTTTAATTCTAAGTGAAATTTTATAAAGTTGGAATTTTCTTACTAATTCATAAAATTTGCTCTTGATTGATGTATCACTTTTGCTACGCGGTTGTCGAAACGAGTAGTGAGATATTAATTTACGATATTGAAATCTATCTTTCGACTTTTTTTTTTTATTATCGACATTGGCAGTTCTGATTGTCCGATAAGTTTAGTCAATGTTTGCTCGAACGCCGCGGATCCAATCACTAATTGAACCCTAGCACGCGACCCTAACATATGTAGTATCGATATTGCGGGGTTAGCTGAACCAATTGACCGAGCAATTAATTAATTGATATGCGCCACTGAGCTTCCCTGCTTCGTATGCGAACGACACGTGGTAGAGAGTTGCCGCCAATATATCAGATCGAATAAAATATTATAGTTTAATAGCTTTTTTTCACACTTGATGCATTCAGGTACTTTCGATTTTATTTCGCGTTCAACTTTAAGTTTACGTAAACTGTTAAAATTATCTCAATTCTTAAATTAATCTTTAATTAATTCGTGAATATATATATATATATATATATAACAATCTACATGCCAATTTATTATTAATTCAACAATTCTGAAAGCAATTCGAAATTCAGAAGCCTGCGACTAATTGCGATTTCAATGAAGCTTGCAGACTTTTTTGTTCTTCTTCCATCTTTTTAGAAGACAAATTTTATAAATATGAACATTTTTTCCATAAGCATTTCTACAAACATTTCTATAAACTTTTTTTTTTCGAAAAATAGCAAGGACACTGTA